AATAAAAAGGAGAATAGAAATGTGGAGGAAGCAATTGTTTGAATGTCATGGTTGTAAGACAAAAGATGTGCTCCTTGTGGTTATCCAAACGTGTCATGGTTGTAATACAAAAGATGTGCTCCTTAAGGCTATCCAAACGTGTCATGGTTGTAATACAAAAGATGTGCTCCTAAAGGCTATCCAAACGTGTCATGGTTGTAATACAAAAGATGTGCTCCTTAAGGCTATCCAAACGTGTCATGGTTGTAATACAAAAGATGTGCTCGTAAAGGCGACACGTTTGGATAGCCACAAGGAGCACATCTTTTGTATCACAACCATGACACGTTTGGATAGACACGTTTGGATAGCCTTAAGGAGCACATCTTTTGTATTACAACCATGACACGTTTGGATAGTCTTTAGGAGCACATCTTTTGTATTACAACCATGACACGTTTGGATAGCCTTAAGGAGCACATCTTTTGTATCACTACCATAACCAAGAAAGAACCACACTTCGTGATTTGCGTGATGCTATACAAACTGTTCTGTTTACCCTTATATCTGCTAATGCTTTGTGTTCAGGAATGATAGATTGTTTTACAGCAAAACAAAGGTTTTTTTTTAAATATCAACTTTTCTCCTGCAGAACGAGAAAGTAGGTTTACATCCTCAAAGTTTTTTAGATCGATAAGTAATTTTCCTAGTTACTAATAAATGCAACCTTGTTTTCCACTACTTTGTACAGAGAACATTTGCCAATACAAGGGGAACACTCTTTATGTCGACATGTTAGAATAATGATTTAAGACATAAATTAAAACCACAGTAAAGCATATTTAATGAAATTATCAGACACTCGCCAAGTTTTAGATATCACTGGATTGATGTTAACTTTAAATAATTAAAACCATTATACTAAATACTATTAAATAGAATAATTAATTCCAGTCTATTTTATTTATCAATACTCCTTGCAAGGTATGAAAATATAATTTCCACGTATTAATATGATGTATGACTTTTGTTTTAATAATAATTTGTAATTTAAACTTTTTTTAATATTATAATTTTTTTAATAGTTTAGTGGTGTAGTGATAGGTGGGGCAGCTGTCCAAGGACCACTTCAGATTTAATTAGGCCATAGAGTGAGATAACACATTTTTCACAAACAAAGTGCATTTTGATTTTGTTATTTTATTGTATTACACGTTCTTTCTTTACATAATATTTTATACCTTTGTTTCATAAGTAACCAAGAAAGACGAATTTTGAAACTATGTACTGCCTCGAAATTGTCGGTACTATTTTAATAATAATTTAATCAACTTGTATTTTTATTTTAAAACATTAATTGTGCCTCCCAATTAAAAATTATATTCTAATCTCTCTTATTAAAACCTTTTATGTCATAATGTTTATTTTAATTCTAATTCATTTACTTAATTATTACAATGACATTAAATACACTTAAGAAAAAACAAACAAACACGTCTCTCATTTTTGTTTTAATTTCAAAATGTTCTTTCTGTAGTTTGGTTTACATAGTATTTTCTGTCTTTATGAATTAAATAGGATATACTGCTTCGTTAAATCTCTGTTGAAAGTGATTAAAAGTCTTTCAAAAGCCATTGCCATATAAATTTAATAATGTTTAAAATGAGTTTCTAGAGTGGATAGTTTTTCTTATATTAACTTAGGCCATGGGTATAATGATTCCATACGACTCTTAAGAAAGTCATAAAATATCAAAGGTATTCTATAGTATAACCAGTTCCAGTCTCAAAACACCTGTATGTATAAACTGCAGAAGGCTTAATTAAGAATCTCGTGCAGGTCCCTAAAGGGACGAAACTCCCTTGTCTTCTAACGTGCTTTGACTACTTGCATTTGACAGTTATTTTTTTTTAACGTGTCTTTTTCATGGGAAATGTCAAGAGCGTGATAATATTAGAAGTCTCTAGAAGTGTAGAATTTGACATACTAAAGAGTTAGGTCGATTTCTTTAGCTTTTAATTTTTTTTCTTCGTAGTCCATTTTTGCCACTTTACAAATCGATTGGTTTGATCAACCTGAGCTACTCGATCAAACAGTTACTGGACTCCCGTCAGAAGCCTGAGAATATCGCGCTGGATGCTCATTAAAATGTACATTTCAATTAAATTTACCGAATCACAGAAATACTTCTTTGTGTTTTCTGCCATTTAATTTAACGGAAAGGAAGAAGATCTTTTGTATTACAACCACTTTATGACAAATCGTTTTTCTTGTAATACTCAAATCAATGAGTGTTTACGAATCTTTACCCAAACGTTTAAAAACTGAGGAAATTGGTGATAATCGGAGACGTTTCAAAATTGATTTGAATTAAAAAACACTTACATATCACATCTTTTATTAAAGAACAGCTACATTAATCACCCCACGCACAAACTTATTTTACTTAAATGCTTAAACATAAAAGAACCATATATATATTATTAGATATCATGCTATAGGTGAGAAATAATACTTTTTTGGTTATCTTCTCTTTGAAGATCAAGTTAAGAACGTGCTCTGAGATATTTCTACTCTGTACTTTATTTTTATTCCTTGCTTGTTTTAGGTTTTATTTTAACAGAAGAAATAAAAAGTGATTCATAAGTGATACTGTACACCTGAAGAGTTATACGCTTGCGTTCAAACCTTTGAACTATTACGTATTTCTGAAGTTACAGTTAGTCTGAGAGACTGCAACTGGTGAGAATTAGAGCATAAAATGAATAGAAACACCACAAGTACAACTCCTAATGAATCGTTTTGTAAATCTATGCTAATTTACAAATTGTATGTTTTTATGCTACTTAACATTTCGAACACTCTCTTTTATGTTCAAAATCCTTTTATTCTAAAGTCAATATTTAAGCATAAATATTTTGGATGGAAAAAAAAATATCATATTATGAAATCCCTTGACGGATGAAATGTCACACAAGTTTTGAAATACACGTTTGAATACAACGTTCCTAATCTACTTTATAAAAGCAATATCCAAAAGTAATTGAGTAAAAAATCTTTGAAATTTCTTGTTAAGTTGATATTTACAAACAGCCACTTTTTAAAAATTAATCAGTCATTTTCCTTTCGTTTTTCAATGTTCATACAATAATTGACTTTTACTTAAACAGCTATTCTGGAAAAAAAAAATGTAAAATTTAAAACAATTTTCATAAAATAAATTACGTTGTATTTTTTTTTCTTTCGATATTTATTTAAAGAAAAGATCAATGAAATGTATAAGAATCGTTTTGTTTTGAGAGTCTGTACATTTCTTCTTTCTGATTACTTAATGCAATGACGTACTATAAACATCCAAACTCTACAGTAAACAAAATCCAGTGTATTTTTCTAATTACAGTTAAACTAAGCTGTGATAGTTTTGTTTAAAACATCTCCCAGAAATATTTTTGAAAATATTTTTAATTTTGCCTTAACTAACATACTTTCAAACAATAATAGCGACATCCGTACCACAAAGTGATCATGCTGATATTTTTATGTTATTTAAACAAATAAAAATTTACTCGCTCAAGAAAAATGAAGCAGTTTGACGTCAATCTAAAGAACAATGAAGATGTTATTTCCAAAATTTTATATTTGTAACTTACCTTTCTTCTTTTATATGTTCACCTGCTCGACGACCTGAAAATGTATGAATAATGAACATATAAATAAACCATACTATAAAGTTATGTTACCAAGAAAAACTTCACTGTAAAACTAGAAAAATGTTTTAAAATATTGAGCCTGATATAAAACAAGTAAATGTACATGAAAAAAATACTTGTCTGTCTATCACACGTAAGTGCACTCAACAAGCAGAGAAACCCCAAATTACTAACGGTAATACTTTCGAATGGCTTCTAAGTGTTGTTAATAAATTTTTGTAACTGCGTTGTCACGACGTAAAACACCTCCAAAGTTTCGGTTTCATGCATTTAAATCAATTTAGAATGAGGAGACTGATCTTGAGTCCGAAATTATATGGTCACTTTCAGTAGGAGTAGCATTTGCAAGTAAACATTAAACTAACTTGGTTCTACGGCACATTTTCGATATTCTTCCTCAGATACTTAGATGCTATAAAGTCGTGGAAATCTCACAAAGTAACAAAACTGACTACTGGTCTTCTGAGAATTATTTTTACTCTGGTGGGTTGGAAAATACATCTTCTAAAGACATTTTAAAATTCATATGATACTAGTTATTCTATTCGTTTTTATCCGGCAAAAAAAATGAAAACGTTAAAAAACCTATGGGAACTAAATAAAATTCGAATTTCTTATGTGTTTTTTCCAACAAATAAGTTGTTCTTTTAAGGATAGATAATTTGACATCATTTTCTCTATAAGAGATTAAAATCTGGTGTTGTAGTCCCTAGTTGTAGGCTTGAAATTATAATCTTTGCATTTGGATTCAACTTGTTTCTGTACTTTTTGGACGATCCCTATTGTCCTTTTTAAATTAACAATTTTTAATTATCTTGTTTCTTAAGTTTTTATGCCCATTTATGGAGAATACATTTTGAGCTACACACGTGTATGTGCCTTCAGTTGAATGTTACAAGTTTTTCAAAAGTTTACTGCTACATTATCTTTTTTTTTTAGACCCAACCAATAATTACTGAGCCAGGTGGTTTGTGCCTGAGATTTCGTGTAAACACGCGTTTAATAAGCGTCGAGTACAAAGGAAGCCGCTCACAACAATATCGCATATACTAGGTATTTATAGCCACGTAAATCAACTTTCAATAAAAAATGATCAATCTTTAAAATAGGTCATGGACATTCACGGCGTTTTATATAGTATATCTGTCTAGGTTTTGTTACAAAATACCCAGTCGATTTTGCTGTAGGACTACTGTGAAACAAAAATATGAATAATAATAAAGTAATACCAATATGCGCACTCACAATCTCAACGAAGTACGAAAATCAATAGAATAAATCGACACTCACAAGAGTAGAAAAATCTACTATGGTAATCGTCTACTGTTAGAGAACTTACTGAAATAGTTGCAGAAAACCACATGGAGACAAAGTACTCGAGAAACAATAAGGAACAGCGAACTCGAGAAATGACGAATCCTCAACGTCTCAGTTTCCAGTTAATGCGCTATAAGTTACACAAATTATTTTCCAGTTTATGCGCATTAGTAAAATACCGGATTTTTCCAATGGCGGAAAGTGAAAGACTTGGAGAAATTCTTCAGAACGAAAAAACGAAGGCGCTTGAATTAATTTTAAACAAACATACTCCAATACCGCATTCATTACTATTGTCCAGATTTCTGTGTGTTTTGTTTTAGTAAAGCCACATCGGGCTATCCGCTGTGTTCACCGAGGGGAATCGAACCGCTGATTTTAGCGTTGTAAATCCGAAGACTTACCGATGTCCCACAGGGGGACTCGTGAGTATTTCTTCTGCATAATAATAATAAGACTGGAGAAACTGTTGTAAATATACGATCGTGGTTTATGGTAAATTACTTTTTTGAATTTTCTGGCAAAATCAACAAAATTGATGGGCCAGCAATGTTATAGTCAAGAGAAATTAGAGGATTTGAAAAAGGAGAAATGTGTATATTTAAAACAAAAACGAATAGTATAAAATACAAATAAATTTCAGGTGTATAAGCTGTCCTTCATTCACCAACAATAAAGCTATAATTGTGTAGGTAGTTGAAGAATATATTATTGTTGCTTAAGCACAAAGCTACACAATGGACTATCTACGCTATGTCCATCGCGGGATATCGATCTCCTGATTTTAACATTGTAAGTTATACTACCGGGTCATCGGGGAAATATGAAGCGATAAATTGTATAAAATAACATAATTTTGGTGATGAAAGAAAAAAAAATATTTGTTTTCGAACAAAACCACATTAGGCTATCTGCTGTATCCACCGAGGTGACTTGAATCTCGACTTTCAGCGTTGTAAGTCCATAGACTTACCGCTATCCAGGTGATATTATGTTAAACAGCTGAATAATGTAAAATGAATAAATTAGTAGAATTAGTTTTATGTATTTTCTGAAATCCTTATATAAGTACAGGTTTGCTGTCCCTCCCTGTGGCACAGCGACACGTCTAAGGACTTACGACGTTAGAAACCGGGTTTCGATACCCGTGGTGGGCAGAACAGGGATAGCCCATTGTGTAGTTTGTCCTTAATTACAAACAATAAATCAATTAATCAGGTTTACTGTGGTGAGTAAAGGGCAAATTAATAGCCATTTATATAATAGCATTCCTCTAAAAGTAACCCTGTTCATTAATTTTCGATTTGCAAATTGTCCAGAATTAGAAGTGAATTTTGCGAATCGAAAGATATAAAGGATATCACATTTCTTGCCGAAATTCATAATGCTGATGATAAAATTAAAAACTATCTTATAACACATTGATATCCTAAAAGATTTGACTGTGAATAATTGGTTGGAACTTTCAAAAAATCCCTACTCAGTAGTCAGAAGAATGACAAAATATACACAAATTAAACCGCATGCATTTACTTGATAAGTAAAAGTTAATATGATCCCATTTTTACCAACAGCATTTTGTGTACGCTTAATTTGATTTGCAAAAGAGTTTTGTTGTTAAGCTCAAAGCTACATAAGTGAAATCAATTTTTAGCGTTATAAGTTATCAGACCGTCCGCTGAGCCACCTGGGGCTTGCAAAACAGAGGTGAGGTTCCAAAAAATAATACTATGATTGTCTTCTTTTTTAATTAGAAATTAAGAAAATAATTTTGATAACTTATTAGCATACAGCACAAAAACTATAGTTAGGGTACTCGACTCGCAGCCCATTTTAACTGTGGAAACGTTATAATGTGGCAAGCAATTCTACTTTTCGTTGGTTTGTTTGTTTGTAGTTAAGCACAAAGCTACACAAAGGGCTATATGTGCTCTGCCAACCAAGGGTATCGAAACCCGGATTATAGCGTTGTAAGTCCGCAGACATACCACTGTGCTACTGGGGGGCTTTTTCGTTGGTAAAGAGTAGCCAAGAGTTGGCGGTGGTTGGAGTTGATTAACTTCCTTTCCTCTAGTCTATCATTTCTAAATTAGGGATAACCAGTGCATGTAGCTCTCGAGTAACTTGGCACAAAATTCAATAGACGAACGCAAAAACTGAATAAATGTATGTCCTTCTGGTAAACTTTTTAACAAGAAAAATGTGAATACAGTAATTGAAAGAGTAATCACTCAAGCATGGATAAAGTTAGCAACAACCTCCTACAAATGTATATGATATTGTTTATACTTGTTATTCGTTTTAATTATTGAGATATTACTTGCATTTTAATCACATTTGAATAGCTTAAATAAATTTAAATTCAATGAAAATGTGTCTCCTTATAAATCCAGTTTTTGATATGTTTTACTTATACAGTTTTAACAATAGTGTATATATTTATACACATAAATTGCCTGCAAACAGATCAACCAGGAGTGTGTTACAACATTTGATTGTTTGTTAAGTTTTCGCGCAAAGCTACTTGAGGGCTACCTGCTCTAGCTTTCTCTAATTTTGAAATGATAGACTAGAGGGAAAGCAGCTAGTCAACACTACCCACAACCAGCTCTCGAGATTCTCTTTACCAACATTATAACATCCCCTCGAATGAAAGGATAAGCGTGTTCGGCGATGTGTTTCGATCCCGTTACAACATATTGCGAGTGTAACGCCCTAATCACTAGACCATGCCAGGTTATTACAGAGGTTGAGTACGTTGTATTAAAACAGTTATAAATATGCTAATCAGCAAGTCACGTGGCAAACACAGCCAATATTAAGCTGTGGTAGAATGGTATGGATCAGAAGTTTGTTTGGCGTGACGTAGATAACGCCAAAAAACTGATTATTTTTAAGAAGTGTATATAACAGACAGCCCTTTCCTACGCAAAATATTCATACACTCAGATCATAAAGATACGTTCAGATCGGGGATTTAGAATTTCCAAGACGAGGATATCTCTGATACCTAATGACATTAAAAAAAACAACGGAATCTGCAGCAAGTAGTATCCTAGTTGTGGTATGAAAAGTGCGGCTTCTTGTAACAGGTGAGAACCCACAAAAATAAAGGTTAATGGGAAAAGATACGTTTTCCAGCCATACCGTCCGTTTAACCATCGCATACCTCAAATTGCTGGAGACTGAAATGGCCACTAATGCCATTTTATACGAAGGCGTACTGGTTAAGACTTTGGAATAATGTTCGATCGGGCTGTTGAAACGAGTGCTGGGAAGCTGTAGCCATCGTACATGAGATAGATTGTAAAAAGGCTTCAGAAAGAAATGGTGTGCTTTGGACACAACAGCTTTAAACTGGAACCTTCTGTAATAGAAACTACGCTGCAGAGTTATTGTTAAGGTGTATGGGCCATTAGATATAGCATGGCAGGACGTCCTGATATGATGAGGTTCCAAAATCTTTTAATATAACGTACACAACTTTTGTATTTCTAATACTCACGTACTGTACACTGTAGAACAAATGAGTTTTTTTATTTACCTCTTGTATGACACGGTTTATACATTAATTACAACTTACAAAAAAAAAGCAATAAACACTGAGTATAATTTAAGTTAAACTCCGTGATATGAAAAGCAAAACACGAATGATCATAATATGATTGTGGTTAATGGTTACAGAATATTCCAAATGTCAAAAGGACTGAATATCAATTTTTATGCGAAAATAAGAATGAAAAATAATGGGAAGTTTTGTGTTTAAAATGGTACAGAAATAGAAGAGCTGTTATCGAAAACGATACTATCAAATACTTTAAACGTATATCTTTAATTCTAACCAAAAACATTAAAATTAAACCCGTTTTCTCCTAGGAAAACAAATGCTGATTTTAATTACTTTACTTGTGTTCGTTTTAAGTTAATTTTATTTAATTTTTATTTCAGAAAAAAAAATATTGTTAATGTTTGTTTTACTGCAAAACGTTTACACTGACTTGTAGCAGCATATCGACGGAGAATTGAGTTGGTATTTATAATGATGCTTCTTTATTTCTCTTAGTCGGAAAAATTTGTTTAAAAAGTGAAAATAATAGACAAAATAATTTATGTAAAATTCATTTTAATATTTATAAACAACGAGTTCAAGATCGAAATTATAATAATTCATTATTTTAACACACATTAAAACGAAACTTTTCTCTGTCTGATTGTTCTTTATTTTTTTCAAAATTTGTTGCTAGTAATCGCCCTCTCCCAGTGGCACAGCGGTATGTCTGCGGACTTACAACGCTAGAATCCGGGTTTCGATACCCGTGGTGGGCAGAGCACAGATAGCCCATCGTGTAGCTTTGTACTTAACTACAACCAAGCCCTAACAATTTCATAAGACGTGAAGAACAAACTCGTAAATAATAATTAAAAATCAAGGAATTACCATTATCAAAAAAATTTAATAATATATTGTTACTCTGTTTGAATATTGAACTTTATAAAAGTTTCAGAATTGAAAATCATGCAACAATTTTTAGAATATTCTTCTACTGCGTAATAAAATGTTATGTCTGCATTGTTCCTTTTGTTACAACTGCATATATAATATAGAATTAATAGTGCATGAAAGCTGTATACATTCTCAGTAGTATCGCAATCTTTCTATATCTTAACGTACATGTTTAGAAGTTTATTCTGTTTAATTAATGTATATGAATTTAGTATAGAGATTGCAGATGCACATGTTATCTGCTATATATCAAGTAAAGGTATTTTAATGTTATGCGCAATAGATTAAACAGTTAAACACACATTCCGAAATGCTTGCTAAATATATTCTTATTTTGTGAGATTTTCTTTTGAAAATGCTCGCCTTTTCAGCCGTGGGGGCGTTAAAATGTGACGGCCAATCACACTATTCGTTGGTAAAAGAGTAGCCCAAGAGTTGGCGGTGGGTGGTGGTGATGACTAGCTGCCTTCCCTCTAGTCTTTAACTGCTAAATTAGGGACGGCTAGCGCAGGTAGCCTTTTGTAGCTTTGCGTGAAATTCGAAACAAACTGAAAATATCTATAGTTTTTCAAGCATTCTTAAAACCAATTTGTTTGACATATTATTTACTAACTGCCTAAGAGACAACCTGTAATTATAAGTTAATCATCTTGAGAACAGAATTTGTATTCTTAAACCTAAGAATCTTTTTCCAAAGAACGAGCTTATTGGTAGTTGCTCACGTATTTATCCAATTTCTTTCAAAATAACATTTTATTGAGGTAAAATATTCAAGGCGTATTTATTTTATTTGAAACCATCAACATCAATATATTATAACATTTTGTGCATTTCAAATGTTTTCATTTGGTTTGTGTTGTTTTTTACCTAAAGTATTTTCAAATAATACAAGTTCCTTATGAAAACGAACGGTATTTGCTTAAGATTTAATTGACTGCATAAAATCGATTTGAAATTTCTAGACATTAATCAGTTTGACTTAAGCAAAACATTTTCTTGCACATAAATGTTTTTATAAAGACAACTAGCAAATAGAATAATACGTTAAAGTAATGAGGCCTTGTTTGTTATCTTATCCGACTTACAGCTTAATTTTAGAATATATTCGTAAGTTTTATTAAATGAATGTTATCATGAAACCGTATAAAAAGGATTTTATTTTACAGAGAATTTTTATTTTAATCATTCCAAAATCTTGTGGAAATACAGATTAAAGTAACTGGATACTATTGGAAAACGTTGTTGATTGGAAAGCATAAGCTTGATGTAAATTTTGTTATTTCAGTTGGCTGGAGGTATTAATTAAATATTACACACGAGGGCTTTGTATGTGTAGGGGGAGGGGTCAAAGTTGGAAATTGCGTAACTTGTCAGAAGTACGCTTGCCTTCGGTATGCAGAAACTAGGAAGATTGGGGGGGGTATTTTAATTCAGTGGGGACCAATATATTAGAAATCAATGAGAAAGTAAGCAGTTCGATCAACAACTTTACTCATGTACTCTTTATCTCCAGCTACCAAGACCATTTTAGAATTTTTACCTGGTTATAATGAGGCACTATTTTGGGCCAAAAATTAAATTCTACTTGGAGAAACTATAAACCTACACCAATTTATTGGGGAAGAAGAGGGAAGTGAACTAGTATTTTCCACTTATTCCTACGCCTATGCAATTTAATTACAAATTCAAAGCTATTTGTTATACAGAGGAAGCAACAACCATGAAGTATTTGTTATCGTATATAACACATAGCTTGAAACTTATTTCAATCTGAGACAAAAGTCCTCACATAAACTATTTATTAAATAATTGGATACAAGTAATCCACTTGTATAGATACTAGTAAAAGTAACCGTTAATGCCGTGCGTAAAAAAAGAACTGCTACAAATGGGGGCGTGAGCCATCCTCTTCCACTATTTTTAACTTATAGCACACGAACCACGCCTCCGATGTAAAGTTGCCCATGCTACTCGCGGCAATAAAGGTCACTTTCATTTGACATCAATTTCACCTATATAATTACTTAGTTAATCGCTTAGTTGAGCTTCTATTCACGGCATTAAAACAATTAAATTGAAATGGCTACCAACCTATAACTGCTCGTTCGATTACTTAGCTATATATCTCTCTTTATATATATATATATACATAGGGCATTTATGTTTATCAAATTTAGTTTTTGAAAGTATATAATCGAAAACAAATTGTGTGTTTAGGTGTTTTGGATAATTTACTCTCTTTCTTTATTAAATACTCTACTTTCATTTTTAAAATCATTTTATGTTCAACTGCATACAATTTAAGCTCTTAAATTGTCGAAGTTTAATGCAAATTCTAAAAACAAAACATTTTTATATTGTTGTACAACTTGTAGGGGGACATACCGTTTAGAAAATTGAACTGGTTTGTAGCTTAACTAGAAAATTGAACTAATTTGTAGCTAACAAGATTTATCGTTTTATGTCTCGAGTTAGTATTCTTTAGCACAGAACTAGCTTGAAACTACATGATTGATCTTGCACGTGGTGTAGGTAATTTGCTTTTATGTGAACAACACGTTTTGAGTGTAGTCCGTAAGCTCTTAGCTTTTTTCTTTACAACAATTCAAAGTGTTTGGGTCCAAAATACGGCTCTTACCCTTCTCTCTAGCGTTGCGAAGAACGAGAAAAATGATGAGGGCCATCATTACGAGACCAGCAACTATTCCAAATAGTACTCCAAGCAACGGTTTCAGAGGCGAACTTGGGGAATTACCTAGAAAGAACGAAAAATATGTGTTGCAATGATGATAACGCTGAAATACTTTTTTTTAACCATTAAGTTGTCCCAAATGTTGTCAAATATTTCTCAAAGGAATAAATATATTTTTATTACATAAATAACGTACTCAAGAAGAAAGGACTACAATACGAATTTCAATGTAGGAAATCGAAAACACGTATTCGTGTTACTTGGAAATGCATTTTATTGATAATTCTTGAAGTGTTGTCACTAACACCATAACGTATTTTGTTACCAGAAAAAAACATGTGCTTGAAAAAGTTTGAAATTTTAAATTTCCATGCTACTAATTACACTAACACTGCTTAGAATATGCCAATGAAAGTGAGGAAAATAATACTTTTCACACCAAATGTAATCAACAGTAGAAACCTTCTTTTTTTATTATTAATAACAACACCTTGAAAAATTGAATCTACATAAAACAATAAATATGCTAAGTGAGGCATTTTTAGGTTCTTTGGAAAACTGTTTTTTTTAATATAATATTGGTTCAGGCGGTAAGTCGTTGGGCTTATAAGACTAAAAATTGGGTTTCTATACCCGCAGTGGTTACAACACAGAAAGCTCATTGTGTAGCTTTGTGTTTTATATCAAACAAAAAGGTAAACGAAGCAAATAATATTTAGACCATCAGAAGTCAAATTTAGGTAATAAGAAAAAAAAAAGAGTTCATAATAAAAAAAATGTTTCTACTGTTGATTAAATTTGGTGTGAAAAAGAAATCAGAAATCTTAGAAATGAAAACAACAAGAATATTTGATATATCTCATTGTTGGTACGTATTTCTAAACTAAAATGTTGATATAACCAAAGTGTACAAATCAGAAGTAAGATCTTCAGACTAGCTTACCTAAGTGTCGTTCAGCGAACATGTTAGTCTGAACGTTCATTTCTACGACAGAACTTCTTCCCTTGGGATTAACGGCGTAAACTACTAGGATGAGGGAAGTTCCAGGAGCCAGGCTAGATATCTCGAAAACTGGTTTACTATGGCTTGTTAGGTTGATTTGTAGATGTTTCCGCTCCACATCGTAGACCTCCAGCTGAAATTGTTGTTGAAGGCCTCCATCGTAGCCTGGCTTACATTCAACAAGAAGAAAATCGCTGGTATCATTTACCCAAGTACAGTTGGTTACCTGCTCAGGCGGTCCTGTAAATCAATCAATAAAATCTAAGTTAATGAACTATTGAGGAGGAAATTACACAATTTTCTTTCTAAGTATACATCTCGAAAGTCTGCGAATCTATGTTTTGTTTTGTAAGATTCTTGAAAGCTGTAATAAATTTCACAAACAGCTGGCAGTATTTATTTTAATAGGATTAGATATATTCACTCTGGTATATGTGTAATAATTCAAACCGTGTTTTTCTTTGCTTTCATAATCAGAGTAACCACAGAGAAAAGAAATGAACTTTGAAAAAACTTAAGTTTTTTTTCCTCTCCCAGATACACAGGTCTATTCTTTTTCAGAAGTCTGGTAGTTGAGGCGCTCGACTCGCAATCTGCCGTTTACGAGTCCGAATCCCCTTCACCGAAGGTGCTCGCGCTTTCAGGCGTGGGAGTGTTATAATATGACGGTCAATCACACTATTCGTTGACAAAAGAATAACCCAAGAGTTGGCGGTGTGTGGTGTTGACTAGCTGCCTTCCCTTTAGTCTTTTACTGCTAAATTAGGGACGGGTAGCGCAGATAGCCCTAGAGTAGGTTTTGCGTGAAATAAAAAAAAACGTTTTAAAAGACACTTCTTTATACATGTTTAGATAGAAGTTCTAATTTATAGTTTTCTAATGTAGCCACACAATGTTGTCGTAGCCATACAATGTTGAAACGATACCACGCTCATTGTAAAAGATGAAAAAAACATTTCATGGAGTTTACCAGCCTACAAATAAAAATATCATTTATGTATCTAAAAACTTACAAAGGCGTGATAAAATAGTGGACCTTATGCTCAGACAAACGACGTAAACACTAAACTTTTCTAGAATACATCTGTATCGTTTCTTTTTCTGCAATAACAGTCGTTTCAAATATTTCTTTCTCAATCAAGGCATAGATTTTTAATGGTCATTAATAAAGCTAACTTCAGAAAATAGTTTCAGTATTATTAATAATGTATTTGAGTGAAATTGCGTGTGGAAATGATCCAGGAAGAACATACTCTGTATAAGTAATCTAGAATTTGTGTCGAGTTTCTCCATTTAAAACCTGCTCACATTACTTATATTTCTGCCAAGGCTGTACCTAGTTATTTTAGCACAAAAATAACTACATGGGTAGATTGAGAACATAACCGTACAAATGATGAATGTGTACGAAACAACAGCTGCTTTCTTCACGAATACTTTAAGGAATGTTCCCATTATGTCCTTATCTACAAGATAAACTAATAAATATATCGTCTAATTATAATCATTATAAAGTGTATACTTTGGAAGTAAGAACATTTGCACTTAAAACCATCTAAGTAAAGTAAACTGTGATATATAGAGCATTAAAACATACAATTATAGCTAACTCTTAGTTATAAGTCATTTATAATTGAATCAGTAAATGTGACGTTTAAATAAGTTATTTGACTATTTGTAAACCAATTCAAAATTTGTTATTTCCGTATTTAATTTAATACATTTTACACTAATCAGCTACTTATATACATTGAGTAGGCTCTCAATCTTACACAATTCTCATGTTACTCCTGAAAAAGCAGTATATTGACCTAAGGTCACGGATTTTCTCCTGAATGTCCATATTTCGTTAAAGTTAACTAACAATAGTAAGTTAAAGTATTAGTTATCTATAAGTATTATGCCTCTTTATATAGCATTAAGTTCGTAAAATTATAAGAAGTATAAAGAAACTTAAAATCGAATTTATAAGCCTTATCCTTCATATTCACATGACAAAATATTTTAAGTTAAGCGTAAAAGTTGATGTAGTAAATCCTGATAAATTACTCATATCCGAAGGTCTGTGTATTTGTGTGAAACCGTTTTTTTTTTCTATTATGTTACTGTTAGGTCATCAGGACTTCTGTTTATCGCGAAGGTGAAAGACATATTTTCAAAGTAATGGAAGAGCTTTAGGTTGTAGAAATCAATGATTCGAAACACGGGAGAGAACTTCAGAGGCGCATGGACAAAGTGTTCTGTCAGAGTTTGTCAACTAAACCTATATGATATATTAGTTGGCTATATGGTGTTTAATCGACTGTACAGTCACGCGAACACGCTTCTTATTTGGAATCATAAAATGCTTTAAACAATGATTAAATTAACCTGCTAAGACTTCTCACAAAATGAGAACTTATATTTATTGCGGAATTTTGACAGTTATGGTAGAGTTTTCAACAGGAAGTCATGCACTAAACAGTGCTAATAATATTTTACAAAAGACTATGTAATAATCAAGAGGTTGGTAAACAACATCTATTGTGGAAGATGATAATCTTATAATTAAAAATAAGATAAACTTTATACAATATTTATATAAACAAGATAAACCTGTTTCCTTTGATTTAAAGTTTTCTACAGAAAAAACATTTGAGACAAAAAATGCCTTTAAAAAGTTAGTGTAATCTCTTCTTAAATACTAACGAATAATATTACACATTTTATTTTCACTATAAATAGTAGGGTAAACGTATGGAGAAAACCACATGTGGTATTTAACCCTACTTGTATTGTTCCAATAATCCAAGAAACTGGAAGTAATGTAATATTATATTAAATGTTCTAGTCACATGGAAGGGTTCCCTTAAAAGAGATAAATAACATTAAAATTTTATCTGAACGTTGTTAACAATAAGCCCACCCCATAATGTCGGACTTCAACAATGATAAACACAACGCTTCCAAGATGCTAATGGAACAATTCGTCAGTGTATCTCTGTAAAATACTTGTACCTGAAAATGACAAAATCTTCTCGAAACGTCGTACAGTTATAATAAAGTTTTTTCATTACCCAGTCAAGCCATCTCAAAACTTTTATTTCCTTAAAAAGTGGGTTCCTCGTTATCAAGTTATACTTCAAAAGATTAAGCAAAATAAGATAATAATACAACTTGTTATTTGAGATATTATTTTGGTTGCAATGGATAAAACTAACTCTGAACGATACTTTGGTTTTTCTTACACAATGACTGTGAATGCAGAGGAATTAAGTCGGGATCACTTGAAGCTGCGCCCTTGCCAGCAGTTTCTTCGTCTCTTGTAATAGAAGACCTATAATTTTATATGGAAATATTAATAATTTTAGACATTAATTTTTTTATTTGCAAAACTTAAATGGAGTTTAATTATTTAGACAAAAATAAACATATATTCTGAATTTTAGAATTATTTTCAGAAACATCCACTCTCGCTAAATAACAAATCGCAAAAAGAAACACTTAGAATTTTTTTAACATTAACAGATAAACTGGTATTGTTAACACGTAGTTAAGATTTTATAAAGCCAGTAGTTGTTGCTATATGTACGGTGAGTGTAGCAACTTACGAAAAAAGTCGCGAAATATATATCTGTTTAAGTATGCTTGTGGTATTGCATTATAAGGAGATTATAAATAAAGATAAACAAATTGATTTACTCATACATGTTGTGGTATTTGAAAAATAAAAGTAATACGTCATTTAAATCACAATTATTATATTTTTGCAAAGATAAAAATATCTTTCTACATGATTCGGCCATAATTGTTCATCAGTTCACTTTCTTGTTAGTATATCTGATGGTTGTGGCGGTAAGGGGATTAGCTGGTTGTGGAGTAACTGAAAATGTTGGTGCATGAAACATGTGATAACGAATACGAAAAAGTCATGCAAGTGGTTATTCAAAATATTATTATTATTTTTACTTCATTTCAAACAATAAACTCTAAAATATTTGTGAGAAATGTGATAAAGTTGGAGAGCTTGAAAACGTGACCCATTTAATGTTTGTAAGTTTTGTTTGAGGGCTACACGAGGGCTATCTGCACTAACCGTCCCCATTTTAGCAGCGAAAGACAAGAGAAAATGCCTCTAGTCATCACCACCCATCGCCATCTCATGGGCTATTATTTTTACCAACGAATAGTGGGATTGACCGTCATTTTAGAAAGCTGCCACGGCTGAAAGAGCAAGTATGTTTGGTTTGACGGGGATTCGAACCCGCGACCCTAAGATTGCGAGTCGAGCGCCCTAACCATCTAGCCATGCCAGGCCAAAGGTTGTAAGAAATGTGATAAGGCTGTAGAGCTTGAGACATGACTTCTTAATGTTTGTAAGAAATGTGATAAGGCTGTAGAGCTTGAGACAGGACTTCTTAATGGTTGTAAGAAATGCGATAAGGCTGTAGAGCTTGAGACATGACTTCCTAATGTTTGTAAGAAATGTGATATATGGATAGCTTGAGAATGTACCTTCTTAATATTTATAATAAATGTGATAAGGCTGTAGAGCTTGAGACATGACTTCTTAATGTTTGTAAGAAATGTGATAAGGCTGTAGAGCTTGAGACATGACTTCTTAATGTTTGTAAGAAATGTGATAAGGCTGTAGAGCTTGAGAATGTACCTTCTTAATATTTATAATAAATGTGATAAGGCTGTAGAGCGTGAAACATGACTTCCTAATGTTTGTAAGAAATGCGATAAGGCTGTAGAGCTTGAGACATGACTTCTTAATGTTTGTAAGAAATGTGATAAGGTAGTAGAGCTTGAGACATGACTTCTTAATATTTATAATAAATGTGATAAGGCTGTAGAGCTTAAGAACGTGACTTCTCAATGTTTGTAAGAAATGTGATAAGGCTGTAGAGCTTGAGACATGACTTCCTAATGTCTGTAAGAAATGTGATAAGGCTGTAGAGCTTGAGACATGACTTCCTAATGTTTGTAAGAAATGCGATAAGGCTGTAGAGCTTGATACATGACTTCCTAATGTTTGTAAGAAATGTGATAAGGCTGGAGAGCTTGAGAACGTGACTTTTTAATGCGTTTGTAATTATTCTGATTGACCACTTTATTACAGTCATCATAATTCAGGCTACAGATATCCCAAATACTTGTATATGCAGAAAAGATTGAACATGTAATATAATTGCAGGAATAAAATCATATCACAGTTAATTTGCAAGAATATGGATCTGTAACACTTAAAGGGGAGT